GCTGACATCCTAAAGTTCACAGTAGGGTAGAGTTATATCTTCACTGTTATTTGTCGAAGCGACGGAAGATTTAAACGCGCAGGTCATTATTTTCTTTTTTTTTTCCCTGTTTCCCTTATTATTTCCTTTAATTTATTCCAAACAAACTTTCTTTTGACCTCATTGACGCTTATACCTCAACTAAAAGCTTACAGATCTCAAGCAACCCTCTCCCTGACATGAAGACTTGCGTGGCCCACTAGTGCCGCTCTGTTCAGTGAACTTGCCAAAAGAATGCTATTCTGCAGCAGTTGCTCTTCGCTCTTCGACCCGAGTCCTGTGCTGCAGGTCTCCCTGTTTACTGGTGCTGTATTATTGATCGAGATGGGGGTAGATGATACTGCAGCTGCCAGCAGTGTTGTTGTGTTGTAACCCAGCAGCGAAAGTGTAGTCAATCAGCTACTAGAAACTAAGCTAGACAGGCCACATGGCATCCTTTCATTTTTAACCTTTTTCAATGTTCTTCCTAGGACTCATTTGTTTACTCCTCTGTGGTTGGAGTGCACCGAGCACATAACCACTTAACTGAGCAAGCTAAATGTGTTTTTTAGTTGTATTCATTTGACATGTGTTTGCTCCAGTAACAGCTCTAAGGTATTAATTAATCAGTTCTGTCTGCAGTAATTGAATAGATGACTGGTCAGGTGTTTTACGAGTATGTTTTATGAGTGATGGGGAAACATCACAGATCTGAAGATATATGAATGCGTTTCTGAATTTCTTACATTTGTTGGCTTTTGAAATGCGGAAATTATTTGTTCTGGGTTTGAATGTTTTGGCCTGATATTTAAATATGAAATAATACCACTGATGAGTATATGGAGCCTTAGGTAGTATTTTTTCAACCATTTCTCCTACATGGGGAATCATTAAAGACAACTGTATCTTAAGCAAACATATAGTTTGAATTCTATTTTTTTTTTAAAGAAGATCTGAGAAGATCCTGGTTTTCTTAGCATAAAAATGTAATTAGGAGAGATCTTTGAGTTGATCACTGCAGTGCAGAGATGAGATAAGCGAGTGTGTGTTCTTCTCTGTCTAAACCCTTTTCACCGACTGCCAAGTGACATGTTACCAAACATGTCTAATAATTAACAGCCCAGTCCTTTGTAAAGAAAAGGTTATCTGAAAGTTTTGAACTTTAGAACTTCACTGGGGGGAAAATACTGTAGATTTGTTCGGGCCCATTTCAGACTGTGTCCGGAGAAAAAGGTGTGCATCTTTCATAATGCTTATGAATAATTCTCAAGTCAGAAAATAATAAATAGTTTGTATTTGTCAAAACTTGTATTGTGTCCTAATATTTGGTTGTTGTTGCTTGATATCTCCTTCACTTTCTGTCATTTTAAATGATTTCTCTCATCTGAAATAGTTGGAAACTATCTTTTGTTGTTATTTTTTTGTTGTGGTTTTGTGATTGTTATTTTTGTTGTGAATTTATTAAAACAAAAACTTTCTGCAAGTATTTTTGTTGCTTAGTATTTTTTGTTGGGAATTGCTTAGTATTACGGTAAGTGTCTGTGGGGGGGGTTGGTCGTTTTTCCATTTTCAGCACTGTGGGTACAATGGATTAAAATAGACCGGCTGATCCTTGTGTGGAAATTGCGTTAGGATTCCTGGTCCACTAGTAGAAATAGTAACACATGAAATGTGGATTGTATATACCATAGGTGTGAATCTTTGGAAGCATGTGGTAGACATACCGGACAATAGTGACATTGCACTCCCGGTCAGGGCTAACTCTCCTGTAAGGCTTGGTGTTGTTAACCCCTCCGCATGTCAAAAAGATGAGAGGACCTGTTTGATGGGCATGTTGTTGACTAATGCCCACAATTCTCCCTTTTCTTAAAAAATTAACCCTGCAATGGATAAAGTGGTTAGAAAATGGGTGGATGGATATTTTGCATTCTAGCGGCACTAAAGATAAGAGCCTTATTTCCTGTATTTTCACAGAATGTCTGCAGCTATCATGTATTGTGACACCAGTTGGTGTTGTAACAGAAGGATCAACAGAGTGCTTAAATGAATATCAAACCAGATATGGTACAGTTACTTTTAATAATGTTTGTAATGGCTCTACATGTGTAAAAGATATTGTCTCAAGCCAATTCAGATGTAAAAGACTTTGGTCTTTGGAATTTGGTAGGATCTAAAGTATATTGTTGTGGGCTTATTGAAGTTAGGCCTCGTAACTGGAAGTCAACTAAGCCAACCTTTGATAACTAATTTGAAAGAAGATGACATAATGCGTGAATCATACTCAACAACATAAAATGGCCTTTTTAGGGCACACGATAAATATTTACAGAATTAGATCACTTTCAGTGCCCTCCAGAAGTATTGTGACAGTGAAAATTGCTGTTTTTGCTGTATACTCAAGTAACTCAGATTAGAGGAAAAAAAGATTAATATAAGACAAACAAACAGAATTATTTCTGAGTATTTTTGTGCTTATATGTTTTACCATTTTAGCATAATAGCACTTTTTGTGTTCAATCCCCCCCCATTTCAGGTAAGTATTGGGACAATTGGCTGCCGGCTGTTTCTCACTGGTCAGGTGTTTCCTGTTGCATTGATTGTGTGCACACAAAAGAGCTGTGAATGTGTAGTATAGGATTTAGCTCTAGCAATGCCCTTTGGTGTTGGCCTTTGGAGTCAATAGGCCTAAACCAACATGAAGGCTAGAGAAATGTCCATGAAAGAAAAGCAAGCAATTTGGATGTGGAAAGAAAAGAATAATTCAATCATAACCTATAAGGCAGAAACTGGGCATCGCTAAATCAACAATTTGAAATGTTTTGATAAAGAAAGAAACCACTAAGATATACTCAATAATCAGCCATGACCAGGTCAGTCGAGAAAAACAACTGCAGTTAATGATAGAAAACGTATGAGAACTGTGAAGAGAAACCAACATTCTCCATAGTGCAGGGGTGGAGGTATCGCAATCTACTATTTGCAGTTGACTTGGACAGCAGAATTATAAAGGCTACACCGAAAGGTGCAAACCTCTCATCAGCACCAAAAATAGAAAGAACAGCTTGCAATTGATTAAAAAAGTACAGAGATGAGCCAGTGGAGTTCTGGAACAAAGAGTTACGGGCAGATGAGACAGAGATATGTTCTAGACAGAGATAAACCTCTTAAACTGATGGCGAGGTAAAAGTGAGGTGAAAGGAATGAACTGCAGATGCTCTGCAGAAGCACATATCTTCATCAGTGAAACATGGTGGAGGTAGTGTCACAGCCTGGACATGTATGGCTGCTTCTGAAACTGGAAACTCATCTTTAATAATGATGTAACACATGATTGTAGCAGCAGAATGACTTCAGAAATGTAGCGAAACATCTTGTCTGCCAATGTACAAGAAAATGCCTCCAAGTTCGTTGGCTAGCACTTCATCATGCAGCAAGACTTGCTGACAACGCAGCCAAGGTGTTCATGTGGAGAAAAAAGTGGAAAGTGTTATACTGGCCAAATCAATTTTCTGATTTTAATCTAAAACAAACAGCAACTGAAAACAAATGGCTGCAGTAAAGTCTTGGCAAGAATCTCGAAAGAAGAAAAAACAAGAATCTGGTGATGTCAGTTACAGGCTTGATGCAGTTATTACATGCAAAGGATTTGCAACCAGGTGCTAAGTTTTATACTACTTTAAATTAATTTTTCCCAATATTTATGCTCACCTCAAAAGGGAGGATGGAACACAAAAAATGGTATTATTATAAAACTTTTAAATTTATGATTACTGAAATACAGAGAAATAAAAGGTGACATTAGGTACTTTTGCCTCATTTTCATCTCGAATCCAAATTGCTTGAGTATACAGTAAAAAACAAATTTTGACTCCACTATTAATTTATTTGTCTTTCAGATAGATCCCTTAGCAATATTTTAGAAAAATAAACTTCATCCCTTATGTTATCTCTTTTATCTGAAATGGACTGGGGACATTCCATGAATCCTGTGAAGCTATAGATTTTAAGATTTAATTGTTTTCACTACACTGAAATCTGCCTTTAGATAGTGCCCTATGTACTGTAAATGACCAAATTTCATTTCACGCCCATTCACTCTGAATTCAGATAATGGTTAGCTCCTACTCAATACTCTGCCACATGAAAAGATCATTCTGCAGTCACTTTCAATGATTTCTGTTGTGTAAAAAAGAGCTATTTGTAGGAAGACAGATTGTAAACTATGTTTTGTTGCTGTATTGGTTTGAGATTAAAAACCTGATAAAACTCCCCACTGTTCCCTTTCAAGGACAGAATGTGGTCATTACCAGTAGGAAAGTGACACAACACCACCCTTTTGTGTCTCACTGTTGACCTGTCAACTCGCTCTCTGAGCTTACTTCTTTGAATTTAACTCTCTAGGCCCTGCACTTCATGTGGGAGCTGGATCCCACCCTTACAAGTCAGCTGCCTTCAAGGAAAGAACCTACTCCTTCAGGGCTCCTTTGTACTTATTCTACACAGAGCTCCCTAAGCCTGTGAGTCTCTCAGACTCAACCTTGTGGCTTCAGGACTCAAATAACATCCACTGGGATTGACAACTCTCTATAAGCCTTGACCTTAAAGGTTTCTGGAGTCTTCCTTCCTTATAAGGTTAACTTCACCCCTGATGATTTCTGGGCTTGAGTAGCCTTGACTGATCTCAACAGTCCTTAATAGACCTATGTAAACGGCCTCAGTGGTCAAGAATTTGTCATTGCACCTGAGGAATTGATGTTTTAGACCTTCCTCAAGCTGTATGTCCACTCCATGTCTGTGACTTCTGAGATCCACTAACCTCAACTGACCATGACAATTCTCAAGACATGGTGCACCTCAACCTTTATGGGTCTTTAGACTTTTCTACCATATTTAGAGCCTTCAACTCAAAAATTACTTCTTTGAGATACGTCTGAGCTCTTTGAGCAAAAAGGAACTATGTGCTCCAACAATTTCCTCCCAATTTACAGGAAACCCATGTATTATGTCAGACAACACAGCATTTTTTCCGTATACTAATGACCAAGACGGAGTGCAGTTGATCTGTCTTTTTACTGAGGTCTGAAAGCTCTTGAAGTTTCGTGACAGTTCTGGTTTCTCGGCTGCCTGCTAAAGCCAAATTATTGACATAGAAAGAAGGAAGGTCTTTTGCATTGCCATTCAGACACCCTGAATTGTTGAGTCTGGTCACTGAGCGGACAAGGCTATTGGGCTTGGCTGTGTACCAAACAAGTTTCCACAAACTGCGCAGTATTCCACAAATTGCAGTGCATAAGCACAGATTCCACTAGGCATATAGCTCAGAACCAGGATTTGGTTCCTTTCTCTGTCTTCATGGTCTCTGTCTTCAAATTATTTTAAACCCCATTGGATAATGGGGAGGTACTCTGGCTACCTGCCAATTATTTTGACTTTCCATTGTGTGGCAAAATCTTTGAGACTCCAGACTCCTATTAAACCCTT